GCTAGTGCCCAAGGTGGAATAGGTATTAATAATAATCTTGCATTTGATATAGCATATTATCATGTCTTCGAGACGTCTCAAAGTGCTTCACAGAATATACTGTAAAGTGAATTAACTGTATATTTTGTGGGCAAAACGCAGCAGCGATTTGCGCACAACAATGTCCCACAAACAGTTGTGGATTAAATGACCAAATTCTTATTTTTTACTATTTATTTATTTTTGAAGGATTATTACCCCCGGACAAGTGTTCCTACTAACTGCCAGGTGAACAGAGGAGGGTGGAGTAAGGAAACTTGCCCAACGTTTCGCTCCACCCGGGATTCGAACCCAGGTCCTCTAGCTCTCCCTCAACCCTTCTGCCTTGCCCTCTCCCTCCCCACTTTCAAATCCCGCCTAAAGACCTTTTTGATCGTGCTTACGGTCCCTTCCCCCTCCCTCCCTGGCTTGGGGTCAAACTCTGCCACAGTCAAGCGTTCCGGGATGCTACCCTGCATGAAGGGTATATAAGTGCAAGTTGTTGTTGCACTCACAACCCATCTATACCTCATGTAGAATTGTCCTTATCCATGCCTAAACTATTTATTTGCTGTTTCAATCACGTGCTACTATCCACAGATACTAGCAGCTACAAATATTTCAACTCTTAACACAATGGCATTCGGTGGGATTTGGCTATTGAGCCCTTGCTTTTATTGTTTTTAGTTGCATTTGGTGTGTACCCTGGGGAGCAGGAAGAGGATTCCAGGTAGCTGTGGTTGACGTCATCCTCTTCAGGTTTGTCTAGCTCTTTAGTTTTGAGAAGATGTCCTTAGCTGACTTGTAGCACATTGGCCCATGCCTCTGGGGTTGGATTCGGGTGAGATCTTGCTGCCGTTGCTGGTAATTGTTTTGGTGGTGGTGGTGGTGATGCTGGCATTGCTGGTGATTGATTTGGTGGTGGTGGTGGTGGTGATGATGATGATGATGATGACGATTTTGGCAGTGCTGTTGATGATGGTGTTGATGGTGTTGGTGGTGAGCACTCTTGCGATATTCCTGGCTTTGTTGCCTAGCGTTCTGCTTGGGTAACTTGAAGCAAATCTGCTTGCTCCTCCTGAACTGAGGGTTCTGATATCTTCTGACGCACACCGAAGTCTGTTTAGGATGCAGATCTCTATGCAGGTGCTTTCTTGGATGAAACGGTGGCTGGTGGTGTGGCCTCAATTGCTTATTGTGTTGACAGTTACAATGGTGCTGGTTGTGATGGGGCATTGTTCAGTACTGTCTCTCCAACTTGTTTTTCCACTAATTCTGTTCACTGGCCTGTGCAGCAATGCATGATATACCACATTGTGACCTGTTAGATTGAGCTGTGACATGCACTATGATGTACTTCTTGTCAGGCCAATTGTAATGTGGTGCTTAATTTTCCCTGTTCATTATAATACAATAATCCTTGCATTTGATATTGTGCTTTTAATTCTGAAGTATCTCCTAAGCACTTCATATAATCGCCGTCAAGTGTATTGTCTTTGCCTTTGCAAGTTTGTGACCAGCAAGGTTCCACAAACAGCTATGAAATAAATGATCAATAAGTCTAGAAGATTGTCAGCCAGCACTCCGAGAGAAACACCCTTCTCTTTTCCATTAGTGTTGTGGGATCTTTAGTGTGCACCTGAACAGGCAGACATGACCTAGATTTATTATCACATTCAAAGGATGACACCTCCAACAATGCAGTGATCTCCAGTAGCCATTTAGTGTTGTGGGAAAAGTGGGTGAATAGAATTAAACAATCTTTAGTTGGCATAACAGTCTCGGATGGATTAAATGTGACTAACTTTGAGCTCATGTTTCAAAGTGGTGCTTGAACCTACAACCTTCTGACCGGTTGAAGATAATGCAAATAATTCTTGTATATTGATGTAGCACCTTATCATGTCATTCAGATGCCTCAAAGTGCTTCACAGAATATCCTGTAAAGTGAATTGACTATATATTTTGTAGGTGAAAGGCTCATCTTTATTACACTTGGGTAGTAGAGACATTAAGGGATATGGTAAAAGGGTATCAGGATTAAAAGATCTGCCAACATTTAATAAAGCGGTGGAATAGGCTCAATTGACCTATTGGCCTTCTCTCCCTGTATTCCTACAACCTGGAGGCAAGTGTGCTTGCCAACTATGCTAGCAACTGAGCCGAGACCACCCAGAGGTAACATTGATGATACTCTGGGATACCATCCATTCCTTGCATTCTCAGCCAATAATACTATGTGAATTTCCAACTTGGAAGTCACAAAGTTCAACTTGAAATAACTTTGTTTGACCCACTGTCTGATTGAAATGTTTCCAAGCACTTTACCTGTTGCATTCACTGTTACGTTGCCTAATTTGCACCAGCAGACCAACCCATGCACAATAGTGAGACGATTGACCAGTTTCTTTTGTGTTTTTTGGTGAATTTAGGTGTGGGAGGAATACTGGGCTGGCCCTGGAAGAAATCTGCTCAATAGGTCGACCACGCTATCCTCCTTCGCCGCTTGTTCCTCCCACCTCAACCTTCAAGGCCCTGTCCTTGAGTGGTTTAGGCCGTACCTCTCCCACCGTCTTCACTTTGTTTCCACGAACTGCTTTTCCTCCACCCCCGCACTGTCTCGTGCGGTGTCCCTCAGGGCTCTGTCCTCGGTCCCCTCCTCTTCACCCTCTATATGCTCCCCCTCGATGACATCATCTGCAGACATGGGGTTAACTTCCACATGTATGCGGATGACACCCAACTCTACCTTTCCTCCTCTACCCTCAACTCCACGACCACCGATGTCCTGACTGTCTGCCTCTCCGACATTGAGTCCTGGACGAGAGACAACTTTCTTCAGCTCAACGTGCGTAAAACTGAGGCCCTCCTGATTGGCTCACGTCAGCGCCTCCGCACCTCAGGCGCTGACAGCATCAGCATCCAAGGCTGCACTCTCCACCTCTCAAAGCCATCAGGAACCTCGGGGTTCTGTTCGACCCTGAGCTGTCCTTTCTCCCTCACATCCGCGCCACAACTGGCACCGCCTTCCATCACCTCCGGAACATCGCCAGACTACGGCACTACCTCACCCCTCACGCTGCTGAAACTCTGGTCCACGCCTTTATCACCTCAAGGCTGGACTATGGGAACTCTCTCCTCGCCGGCCTTCCCGCCACCTCCCTCCACACTGCAGGTCATTCAGAACTCTGCAGCTCGTGTACTGTCCCGCACCAGACACCGCGACCACATCACTCCCACCCTCGCTCACCTCCACTGGCTCCCCATCCCCCAGAGGATCGAATTCAAGATCCTCATCCTCACCTACAAGGCCATTCACGGCCTCGCTCCCTCCTACCTCTCTGACCTACTATCCCCCTACCTACCTGCCCGTACCCTCCGTTCCTCTGGCTCCGGTCTGCTCCACATCCCCCGCCCCAACCGCCCTACCATCGGTGGCCGGGCCTTCAGCCTCTCAGCCCCGAGGCTCTGGAACTCTATCCCCCAGTGCCTTCGCCTCTTCCTCCCTTTCCTCCTTCAAGGCCGGTCTCAAGACCTTTCTCTTTGACCGTGCCTTCAGCTCCCCTCTCGACTCTCTACCCCCTCCTCGCTCCCTCCCTTCCCTCCCCTCACCTGACCATTTCCCCCCAATGCTCGGGTCCTGACTCAACTGTCCAGTGCCTTGGGACGTCTTCCCGACGTGAAAGGCGCTCTATAAATGGAATCTTGTTGTTGTTGTTGTTGTAGGTGGGAAGCAATATGGCTGAGACCAGTCTTGTCCTCACATCTATACATGTACCTTTTAGCTGGGTAGTACGGGGGTTTCTGGATAGGGATCAGCAGCTGAAGCCTTAACTGCAATCCTGGCTGAGATCAGTAACTCAGCACAAACCAGTGTGTGTGTAGTGCTGGTAGTGTAAGGTACCTTGACTCACTGGATGATCAGGAGACTGAATTAGCAACATCTCGTATTATAAAAGTCTGAAAATTCATGACAAAAATTCCACACCAGGCCAATCACCATTTGAAAGAAAAAGATCGGCTGATGTTCTTGTCCTATTGGTCTCTTCCAGGTGAAGGGTGTGTTGTGGAATGTTAACCTGTCCGTTCCCTCTCTCTCTTTCTCTCTCTCTCACACACCCACATTTAGATGCCAATGTAAATGCTATGTGCTTCTAAACATTCCCACTTCTATTGTGTGCTTCCAATAGTTATTTTTATTACCAATTGATTGAGCAGCTGTCAGGTACATGTGTACCCAGCAGAGAATCGGAGGCGACACAGGTTTAAAATCAATTTCTTTATATGATTCTGGAAGTGATACCTTATTCAATGCTAATCAGTCTGGGCTTTCATTCCTCTCTAGAGGGCTGAAATTTCACCGCGTCTTAGCCTGTGAAGCCATTTTGTCCTAATGTGTTAAAATGGAGCACCAATTGTGCACAATTATTAAATGCAGTCTTAATTTGGCAACTGGTTCTTTTTAAGAATTGTGGGAAAATGACTTCAAAGTTAAGATTAGATCTAATAATTTTGTATGATTTTAAGACAAAACAGTTGTAGCTTCTGCAGTGCATGTATTTTGTGATTTACTCATTCTTATTGGAGAAAGACATACTATGCCTAATCTTGAAAAGGGAAATCCACACATACTTGGGGATTAAGGAGTATGGAGATATGCAGGGAAATGGGATTAAAAGATTTGCTGCGATCTAAATAACAATGTCAGAACAGGCCCATTGGGACAAGTTACCGCTCTGTACCTAAATCCTTCAAGTATAAAATATGCAGACCCATATGCTTTCCATAATTGTACTTCATGTGTGGATCCAAACTACGCCCTACAATAAATAACCAACTTGCGCATATCTCTCCAATATCACAATGCTTTTAATTGCACTGCAATGTGCAAAGTTCTTTAAATGATTCTTAGTGTTAATCATAATCCTTTATTTACCATGACTGCTTTACAGTCTTTCTTTCTCTTTCTCTTCAGTTGTGCGAGGAGTTGTGGAGTTTTAGTGGGGTTTGTTTATTTGAAATCGCTCACTTGCCAAATTGTTGAGACCAGGAAAGTGATTCCCCTTAAGCTGGTGCTAAACCAATATGAGACTTCAATCTCCCTCAAGGTCGCTTCTTTCTGTGATGGCTCCCTCAGTACCTCCTGGCTCTGGTGTACTGAGAGAGGAACATTGAGCTCAAAACCAACAGGTAAAGAAATTGTTTTTCCCACTTACAAAATGATTTTATGTAACGAAATGTCTTATGTTCAACTGCAATTTCCATTTGGCTTAATTTACCATCTGCAAAACAATTTATGTTTACATAATGTCAGGAGGAAGTCTCTAAAAAGTGTTTTTACACAGCTGGCTGGGCATCTAACCCAAGGGAGTAGTTGAAAGAAGGAGAATTGTATACAGTAAACCCCTTCTAGGTAGCTGGAATTTGAAACTGGGCCAACAACACAACCAAATTTAAAAAGAAATTTTACGGGCTAACCCTATCCTGAATTATGATTAACCAGCACGTACTGTAATAATAATCCTTGCATTTGATATAGCGGTTATTGTGTCTTAAAGTGCTTCAGAGTCTACTGTAAAGTTAATTGACTATGTTTTTTGGGTGAAACATGACAGCCAATTGCGCACAGAGGTGTCGCACAAACAGTCATGGATTAAGTGATCAAATGTTTTTTCAGTAACAAACTTCCTGCCTTATCATTTTACTCATTTTTCTATTGTAACGTTTTCCAATAGTTTGTGAACTAAGTCAGTAAACAGATACGAGAGTGCAGATCTCTAATCAGTGCGTCTGTTTTACTTTTCTTTTTATTTGCTCAGCCAGGTTTCTGACATTTCCTTAAGAGTATCCAAACCAAACTAAGAATTCCCTGCCTCCCACCTACACATGGAAATTCCAAAGATAGATTGTTGGAATGGAATGCGCTCTCTCCCCCTGGAGGGAGGAATCCTGCTTAGCTATTTCAACAACAACAACTTGCACTTATATAGCGCCCTGCATGCAGGGTAGCGTCTCAGAGTGCTTAACAGTGGCGGAGCCTGACTGAGCAGGGGGGAGGGGGGAGGTAGCCGTCAGCACAGTCGAAGAGGAAAGTTTTCAGGCGGGACGAGAGAGGGGCAAGGTGGAGGGATTGAGGGAGAGTGTTCCAGAGTTTTGGGGTGCAGTGGCTGAAAGCCCGACCTGGTGGTGGGGCGGAGAGTGTGAGGGACGAGTAGGAGGCTGGTACCGGTTGAGCGGAGGTAGTGGATTGGAGAGTAAGGAGGTCGAAGAGGTAGGGAGGTGCCAGGGAGTGAATAGATTTGAACATGAGCCAGTGGAGCCTGGGCCAAAACTGGTGAGATGTGGGTACGGAGTTTGGTCCGGGTCAGTGTGTGGACAGTAGAGTTCTGAATGAGCTGGATCTTTTGAATGGTGTAGCTGGGGAGACCGGTGAGCAGTGCATTGGAGTAATCCAAGCGGGAGGTGACAAACACATGCACGAGGGTTTCGTCTGCTTTTGGGGTAAGATACGGTCGGAGATGGGCAATGTGATGGAGGTGGAAGAAGGCGGTCCTGGTCAGGGACCGGATGTGGGGGAGGAAGGACAGCTGAGGGTCAAACCGGACACCTAGGTTGCGCACTGGTTCAGTGTGTCTTAGGGAGAGTCCAGGGTGGTTGAGGAGTTCAGATCCGCAGAATTGAAGACATTGACGGGAGCCAAGGAGTATGGCTTCCATCTTGTCCATATTCAGCTGCAGGAAGTTTGCACTCATCCAGGCCACCCACTCATGTCTGCCAGACAAGCTGATAGAACATCGGTGGACCTGGAGTTGGTACTGGAGGAGGAAAGTAGATTTATGCGTCATCCGCATACATGTGGAGGTTTACCCCGTGTCTGCAGATGACATCACCTCGTGGGAGCATACAGATAAGGAAAAGAAGAGGGCCAAGGATGGAGCCCTGGGGTACCCGCAGGTGACTGGGCGGGGGTGGGAGGAGAAACCATTTGTTGAGATGAAATGGAGGCAGTTGGTTAAGTAGGACTCGAAAATGCGAGTGCGGTCTCACTAAGGTAGATGGAGGAGGATGGCATGGTTGAGACTGTGTGGAACACGACAGAGATCCAGGAGGACGAGGAGGCAGAGGGAGCTCTGGTCACAGATAGAGAGAACGTTGTTTGTGACTTTGACCAGCGCTGTCTGTGCTGTGGGCAACAACAGCAAAATTACATTTGTGTGGTGCCTTTCAGATGTGGGGGAGGAAGAGCTCAACGTACACAAAACTGAGGCCCTCCTGATTGGCTCGGGTCAGCGCCTCCGCACCTCAGGCGCTGACAACATCAGCATCCAAGGCTGCACTCTCCACCTCTCAAAGCCGGTCAGGAACCTCGGGGTTCTGTTCGACCCTGAGCTGTCCTTGCTCCCTCATATCCGCACCACAACTGGCACCGCCTTCCATCACCTCCAGAATATCGCCAGACTATGGCACTACCTCACCCCTCACGCTGCTGAAACTCTGGTCCACGCCTTTATCACCTCAAGGCTGGACTATGGGAACTCTCTCCTCGCCGGCCTTCCCGCCACCTCCCTCCACACTGCAGGTCATTCAGAACTCTGCAGCTCGTGTACTGTCCCCCACCAGACACCGCGACCACATCACCCCCACCCTCGCTCGCCTCCACTGGCTCCCCATCCCCCAGAGGATCGAATTCAAGATCCTCATCCTCACCTATAAGGCCATTCACGGCCTCGCTCCCTCCTACCTCTCCGAGTCTTGAAGAATGCAAGGGAGGGGGCGAGGTGGAGGGACTGCGGGATGTAGTTCCAGAGGGTGGGGGCAGAGTGGCAGAAGGCCCGCCCACCAATGGTGAGGCAGAGGACGTGAAGCAGGCCGGAACCCGCTGAGCGGATGAAGTGGGCAGGATGGTAGGGGGTTAGGAGGTCATAGAGGTAGGATGGAGCAAGGCCATGGAGGGCTTTGAAGGTGAGGACCAAGATCTTGAACTGCATGCTTTGTGTGATGGGAAGCCAGTGGAGTCGGGCGAGGATAGGGGGTGATAGGGTCACAGAGCCTGGTGTGGGAATGGACACGGGCTACAGAGTTCTGGATGATCTGCAGCCTATGGAGGGAGGATTTGGGGAGGCCGACAAAGCAAGGAGTTTGCATAGTCGAGCCTCGATTTTATGAATGCAGGTATGAGAGTTTCGGTGGTCTGCAGTGTGAGACAATGGCGGAACCGGGCGATGTTGTAGAGATGGGGGGAGGCAGAGTGGGTCATGGCACCGATGTGGGGTGGAAAGGATAGTTGAGGGTCAAACAAGGCACCAATGTTCCGGACTTGCTTAGTAAGTGGAGTGTGCAACCATGGGTGGTGATGCTGTCAGCGCTTGAGGTGTGGGTATCATCCACATAGATGTGGAAGTTGACCCCATGTCTGCGGATGATGTCACCAAGAGGGAGCATATAGATGTTGAAGTCGAGGGCACCAAGGACAGAGCCCTGAGGAACACCACACAAGATGGTGCGGGGGCTAGAGGACAAACCGTTTGTGGGCAGAGTGAAAACCAGACTGCAGGGGCTCGAGGAGGGAGGGGGGAGAGAGAGGTGACTGAAGTTGATCTGCAACAATGCGTTCCAGGTCTTTGGCAAGGAAGCATAGGTTGAAGATGGGACGATAGTATGAGAGATTTTTTGAGGAGAGGTGTGATGACACTAGCGTAGATCTTTTGAGGAGGGGTGTGATGACACTGAATTCTGGAAACTATTAGGTGCAGGTTAGCAAGAGTCCATGCTTGGGGACCCCACAGTGTGTGTTGGGGTATTGCTGAAGTCTAACCAGCTAAAACTGTACAGCTTGCCACTGATAGTGTTTTTTTTATATACACAGTGACTTCTAAAAGCACTCAGTTTTCTCTATATTCGGCTCAACCAGGCCAACATGCTGATTCCAGGGTTGTGTGAGTGCAGCCCCTTAAGAGACCAGACTGGGCAGCTCAATGGTTGCTGTATGGGTGTACTAGGGCATAGCAGCTGCATGTCTGACTGGGTTAAATATGAAGTGCTTAGACAACAATCTGGACAACAGCGCCTTTATTGACGGCTTTTTATTCTCTTCCCAGAATCTTAACATACTCAGAGACGCATTCAAACATGGCCAGAGAATCAGCTGTCCAGAGACAGGAAATGGCAACTAAAGGTTTTGTTTAAGTTCAAGTCGACGCTTCACTTCTTATCCCTGTTTGTTTGTCGGTGGCTACAAAGCTTGAAGGGAGGGGATACAAACGGATGCATCTTTACTACACCTCCCGAGAACTCTCCTGACCTGGAAATTATTTTGTGATTTTTAAAAAAAACAGCACTAGCAAACTCTAGAGGCCACCTGAAGCAAGACTGCACGTGCTCCCAGTTTCAGGAAGCTTATGAGGGCGAGAGAGTATCAGGAGTGCACTGAACTGCAGCACCCCAGACTGAATCCCATCAGAAAGTCACACACATCCACCAATGCAGACTGGACATGCTCATTGAAAGCTTGGCTTTGGATTAAGTGCATTCCGTTGCCGTGCGTACTCCAAGAACAGACATTAAGCAGTGAATAAACCACACTGGCAGTTGTCTGCGGTAGACCCGCAGGAAAAAAGACCAGGGATTTACTAAATATTATTTTTTGCAATTTGGCATCTTTTATGTCTAATTATCCCAGCTGCTGCTAGTGTGAAGTTTCTTGCTGCGTTTGGATGAGTGAATGCAAAAGAGACAGCTTTTGGCTTGATCAAGAGCATGGGCTGAAGAGTTGAGAAATTAACTGTTGCAGATCGTGGTATTAATTTTCTAAAGAACAATTGTTGGCATATTTTAAAAGTGTACTGTTGTTATGGGTGGTACCACCCATTTTGTCTCCAGGGATATGTGAAGACGCAAAGGTGTGGAACTTTTTTTGGTTGGCTCGAAGGTACACGTTGCACAGGGCTTTTAAAACGTCTGTCACTCTCCCCTCCCCCAATCATGGCGGAGCATACTGAGCTCCTGGCCGAGCTGCCACTGGTCGGGCGAATGACGACGCATGAGAGATTGAAGCACGCGCAGAAACGACGAGGGCAACAGCTGAAAAAGTGGGCGCAGTTTGAGAAGGACGCACGTGGTAAAAAGGCCAAGGCAAGCCAGAGGAAGAGCAGCAGGCAGCAACGCAGGATACAGTTCCCTGAAAACATCCAGCTCTTGGAGGCTGCGTCTCGCAATGATGTAGAAGAAGGTAAGGATGTCTCATAGCAGTTCATTAGGCTTAGCACCCCAGAGTGGTTATAGGAGACCTGTAGCTCAGTGGTTAGAGCACTCTCCTCGCAAACGAGAGACCTGGGTTCGGTTCTCGGCAGGGCGAAATCTTAGGCAAGTTTCCTTACTCCACACGCCTGATAATAATCCCTCAAGAAAAAGAACAATAATAAAATTGGTCACTTCAATCCACAACTTTTTTGTGGGACACTGCTGTGCGCAATTGACTGCCGCGTTTCGCCCGCAAATATACAGTTGCTACACTTTACAGTATATTCTCTGAAGTGCTTCGAGGTGTCTAGAAGATGTGAAAAGCTCTATATCAAATGCAAGGGTTATAATATTTATTAATACAAAAGGTCCTTCAGTCCATCATGTTAGTACTGCAATTTGCTTCCCCACCAGAGGTCTCTACTCTAATCTTATTCCTTTGCTCTACGTCCATTGCATTAATGCAATGCAAGCATATCTGTACTGGAGCTCGCTCCCCCACATGAGCTTTCTAGTATAATCCCATTCCTTTGCTCTTTCCCCATTATGGGTGCTAACTCCCCACTGGAGCTGTCTAGTCCAATCCTGTGGCTCTTATATGTGCTGTTTCACGATTTACAGAATATAAAGGTATAAGGTACATACAGTATAACTTATTCTCAGTGTACTGGAGGAAGGGAGATTGTGTTCAGTTGACTTTGATTTTATTACCCCTCCCCTTCGTGAAACGGCCCTGAGAAAACTGACTGTGTCTGAGCATGTAGGCTCCAGCTCACTTGGTTACTGATGAGCCATTCTTGTCTTGCAGTTCAGCAATTGTTAAAGAATGGAATAGCCCCGGACTTGTACAATGAGGACGGTTTGACTGCACTGCATCAGGTTAGTTTTGTTCCATTACCTGGTATGCTCACAAATGTGTTATGTCTGGACGGCAACTCAATATCAACCTGTCCACTCCCTCCACTTAGTAGACTCAGGCCTACTCAATGCTCCTGCCTGGCACACCCCATTAACGGGGGTCAGGCCACCAGCATCTCTGCTCCCACCCTTTGGAACTCTATCCCACAGTCCCTTCGCCTCTCTCCCTCGCCTCCTTCAAAACCTGTCTCAAGAACCCCCTCTTCGACCACGACTTCGGTCACTCTCCTACCCTTACCCTCCCTGCCTTCCACCCGTCCTGATCCCAACCCCTAGCTCGGGTCCAAATCCTTGACTGCCCAGCTCCTTGGGATGTTCACCTGATGTGAAAGGTGCTATAGAAATAACAATAATTTGCTGTTGATAGGGCTGTCAATCTGCCTTGTGAATCCATCCATTGGTGAATAACACCCTCACTGCCATCCTCAGTCTCCAAATGATGTCACACATTCCAGTGTGCAGGGCAGCACTTCCCATCGGTTCGAGACATTCAAGTACTTTTCCTTTACTGTGATCAGCCAAAGCCCCAAATATCTTACAATATCTTACATTGTTAGCCTTGAGAGTATCGCATAAAAATTACAAGAATGTGCATAATAATAATCCTTGCATTTGATATAGCGCCTTATCACGTCTTTGCGACGTCTCAAAGCGCCTCACAGAATATACTGTAAAGTGAATTAACTGTATACTTTGTGGGCAGAACCTTGCAAAGTTCTTAGCTTTATTTTGGAAGCCAGTTTTCTGCACTTATTGTTGAAATGTTTGAACCACCAGCTGCAGTGGTTTCTATCTTTATGTACGTTCCTTTTTTCATTCGGTTGCTTATTGCTGATAGCACTGAATACAAGGGTCTGGGCGGCCTATTTAGACCCATTCATGCATTGCCTGCTCAGAAACCGAAAGCTTACTTTGCTTTTCCCTTCCCCTCCCCCCATCGCTAAAGGAGGATAAAGATCCTACACACTATTAAAAACAGAAGGTATCCTGCCCATCAATCCACTAGATTAATTTGTCATGGACCTCACACTGTTTTGTGTGGGGGAAGAGGTGGGATCTACTGTGGAAAAAATGGCTGCTACTTATACCTACAAAAACAGTACTAACTACTCACAGTAATTACTGTAAAGTGCTTTGAGACATTTCAATGTGATAAGGGGGTATAACAGTTCTTTCTTGGGACGTCCAGCGCCATGGGACGTCCTCCTGCCGTGACAGGCGATCTACAAATATTTTTTGTCTTTGTTGCAGTGCTGTATTGATGACTACAAGGAGATTGTGAAGCTGCTTCTGGCAGAAGGAGCGGACGTGAATGCATGTGACAGTGAACTGTGGACACCACTACATGCTGCCTCCACCTGTGGACACTTACACCTGGTGGAAGAGCTGATCAAACAGTTACGTACCCCTCCCCAACCTATTCCTGGACCAGCCTCCTGCCTCTGGTTACTCCTCAAGATCCTCATTCGTTATTATATTAAACACAAGCTTATTATTTATTTTAACCACTCTTAGGTTCAGAAGATTCTGAATGAACTTGGGTTCATTCTGATTCAACGTAGTATTGTGATGTCCTGCATTGATAAAGCTTTGAAGGACATGTTAAACTGAGGTCCCATCTGCCTGTTCAGGTGGATGTTAAAGATCCCATGGCACTATTTGAAAAGAGAAGGGAATCTCGTCAATAAAATCCCCCCCAATCATTCAATCATTCACTTTATGACTGCTTTTGCTGACTGCAAAATTAGTCTTTGTCCATCGCTCCTCTCTTTATCCATCTCATTGCCTACCTGCCTCTCTTTAACCCTCCCTCCTTCCACCCACCCCTTACCAAACTCTGTTGTCTGTGTATGAGGGGACAGTGGGTATGTGGCTTGTGAGCGCTCGCTCTCTATCTCGGTTTGCCAGTCTGTGTGAGGTGGCTGATTAGTGGGCAGAAACTAACAGCTCGAGTTCTGATGACGTGTCTGGTTACAGGGGTGCAAACCTGCTAGCAGTGAACGCTGATGGAAACATGCCCTATGACCTATGCGAGGATGATGTCACCCTCGACTACATCGAGAACGCGATGGCAGAACAAGGTAACCGAGCGAGCGGGATTGAGAGATCCTGTAATGAGGAGAATCTTTCAGATTGTCTGGAGGACCTTAGTGTTCTCTGTGGCGGGCCTGCCTCTGCAGGGGGAGTGGGGGGGAGGAGTTGCAGCAGGACAATATTAGGCACTGAGCACGCTGTTTGTCATGCTTTCTTAATATTCTTTTCAGGCATCACCCAGGAAAAAATTGACAACTCGCGTGAGGCCACAGAAAGATGGATGATTGAGGACGTCAGAAAGCTGGTGGAGTCGGGAGCTGATATAAACGGCCAGGACGGCCAGGGCATGTCATTGGTAGGGACTTTCTACAACTTCTCATTTACTCTGCTTTCTACTTAAATCTCCTCAGTAAAGGGCAAGGTGATATTTCTAACAGCCACATTCAGTCCTCCTATTGTTGTTCGATCTGCCTACTCCCCAACCCACTACTCGCTGCCTCCACTTGACTGGGTCTGGTTTCCTGTGCTCTCCATTCCACCATCAGTACCTGCGCTTTTGGCCACTCCCAAAACTATAACCCACATGAAACCGACCACCTACTCCCTCGACCCCATCCCTACCCCTCTCTTACCTCCCAGCTCCACCTCCTTGCTCCTCTACTCACAGGCATCATAAACCTCTCCTTGTCCACTGGTATCTTTCCCACCCCTTTAAAAACGGCCGTCATCACTCCTATCCTTAAAATAATAAAAAAAATCCTCCCTGGACACATTCCTTCTCTCAAACTACTGCCCCATCTCCAACCTCCCTTTCCTCTCCAAGGGCCTGGAATGAGTCGTTTCTTTCCAGCTTCGCTCCTTCCTCTCCCGCAACTCCCTTCACGAACCCCTCCAATTGGGATTTCGAGCCGCCCACAGCACAGAAATAGCCCTGATCAAAGTGACAAATGACGTTCTGTCCATCTGTAACCAGGCCTCCCTTGTCCTTGACCTTTCTGCTGCCTTTGACACCATTGACCACTCTATCCTCATCCACCGCTGATCCTCTCAACTCAAGCTTCATGGCTCTGTCCTTGAATGGTTCAGATGATACCTCTCAAACTGCTTCCACTTCATCTCCACAAACGGTTTCTCCTCTAGCCCCTGCACCGTCTCGTGTGGCATTCCTCAGGGCTCTGTCCTTGATCTCCTCCTCTTCAATATCTATATGCTCCCTCTTGGTGACATCATCCGCAGACATGGGGTCAACTTCCATATGTATACGGATGACACCCAACTCTACCTCTCTGCTTCCACCTTTGACTCCAGGACCACTGCTGTCCTGACAGAATGACTGTCAGACATCAAGTCCTGGAAGAGAGCTAACTTTCTTCAGTTGAACGTCAACCAGACCGAGGCCCTCCAGATTGGCAACACGTCAGCGCCTCCACAACTCAGGAGGAAAGCATTACCATCCATGGATGCACACTTCACCTTACTAAGCCAGTCTGGAACCTTGGCGTCTTGTTTGACCCTCTTGTTTATCCTTTCTACCCCACATCGGTAGCGTGATCCGCAATGCCTTCCCCCACCTCTGCAACATTGGCTCTGCCACTGTCTCACACTGTAGGCCGCTGAAATCCTCATATGCGCATTCTGTGCAAATTTCTTGCTTGTTGGCCTTCCGAACTCCTACCTCCATAGGCTGCAGATCATCCAGAACTCTGCAGCCCGTGTCCTCTCCCACACCAGGCTCTGTGATCCTATTACCCCCATCCTTGCCCAACTCCACTGGTTTCCCATCACTCAGAGGATACAGTTCAAGATCCTGGTCCTCACCTTCAAAGCCCTTCATGACCTTGCTATCCCCTCCTTCTGCGACCTCCTAGCCCCCCTACCAATCCTTCCCGCTCCCTCCACTCAGCGGTCTCCGGCCTGCTCCAGGTCCCCCGCCTCGCCCGCCCCACCATTGGCGGGCGGCCTTCTTCCACTCTGCCCCCACCCTCTGGAACTCCATCCCATAGTCCCTCCGCCTCGTCCCTCCCTTGCCTCTTTCAAGACCCATCTCAAGACCCTCCTCTTCGACTATGCTTTTGATCACCCTACTTTCCCACTCCTGCCCTCCACCCTCCCCAATCCCGACCCCCAGTTTGGGTCCGAAACACTGACTGTCCAGCGCCTTGGGACGACCTGTGAAAGGCGCTCTACAAATGTAATTTTGTTGTTGTCATTCCACCATAAATAATTATAATATACCTCCTCAGTTGATATTTCTGACAGCCACATTCATTTCTCCTATTGTATACTCTCCAACCAACTACTCGTTGCCTCCACTTGACTGGATCTGGCCTCCTGCTTGTCTCCTGTGCCCTCCGTTCCACCACTGGTGCCCACGCTTTTGGCCACTATGTCCTGAAATTCTGGAACACTCTTCCTCAATCCCTCCACCTTGCCCCCTTCTTCCCCATCTCCGCCACTGTCAAGCACTTTGGAAAGCTACCCTGTGTGAGGGCCGCTATATAAATGTAAGTTGTTATTGTTACTTAGCTGTACGCTGCCAGTTACAGGCAGGAATCTCACTTTCCAAAAGATTACCTACATGTATCTTAACAGTTTACAGGGATACACTTCTCTCACTACCTATCCATCTGCTCAGAACAATTCCTTCCATGTATTTAGCAAAGTAACAGATTCAGGCAGGAGTAGATCATCGCTCAGCGTGGATACAGTGGGGAAAGAGCAGAGAATAGGATTAGAGTAGAGAGCAGTGCGAGAGAGAGCACCAGCACAGACATGATTGGGAGAGAGCAGGGAATGGGGTTTATAGTCAAGAGCTTCAGTGGGGAAGTGAATACCAGCACAGGATGTGGAAAGATCAGGAAATCTGATAACAACAACAAATTGCACTTATATGGCGCCCTTCATGTGGGGTAGTGTCCCAGAGAGCTTGACAATGCCAGAGTCTGACGCTGAGCCAGGGGGAGAGGGCGGGGGGAGGTGACCGTAAGCATGATCAAAAAGGAAGGTCTTCAGGCGGGATTTGAAAGTGGAGAGGGAGGGGCAAGGTGGAGGGACCTAGAGAGAAAATTCCAGAGTTTCCGTGCGTAGTGGCTGAAGGCGAGGCCACCGATGGTGGAGGGGACGAGGGACAAACAGGCCGGAGCCAGCCGGGGGATAGAGTGGGGGGGGTAAGTATTTGGAGGAGTAGGGAGGTGCGAGGTATAAAGGGGTTTGAAACCGAGTGAGCGGATCTTGAAATCGATCTGCTCGGTAATTGGGAGCCAGTGGAGTCTGGCAAGGACTGGTGTGATCGGGGTACAGAGTTTTGTGCAGGTGAATATCCGTGCGGCGGAGTTTTGGATTAGAGTGGAGAGCCCCAGTTGGGGGAGGGGTGAACACCAGCGCAGTGTGGGAAAAAGATCAGGTGAATAGGAATCGAATAGAGAGCTCAAGTGAGGAGTGAGCACCAGTACAAGATTGAAGAGCTGCTTTTAATGCAGTTATACCTATAGTTCTGTTACACTGCCGTTGATTTGTTTCAGTTATATGAGCTCTTTCTCTTATCCTCAGCTTCACATCACTGCAGCAAACGGCTACATCGAGGCTGCGGAGCTGCTCCTCACACACAGAGCCCGTGTGGATCTTAAGGACTGTGACGGCTGGGAACCACTGCATGCTGCGGCCTGTTGGGGGCAGGTCAGTGTAATCCAGGGACAGGTACAGACAGAGGCACCACTGGCTACCATGTTACTCACTCTCCAATCAAAGGAAACCCGTATAGGTGCCCCTTTCTGGAGCTGAAAATATATTTGTGCACAATTGTTAACAGGAAAAAAAGATGTCCCTCAATATTTATCATCTCCAGCTTTGAAGCGTTCTTTCTTGCTGTTCATTGTTCCTGTTCACTGGCACAGTGCTGGGTATACGCGTGTTATATAGAGGTTGTGCATTGTCGGAGGTGCCAAACTAAGGTCCCGTCTGCCTGTTCAGGTGGATCCCATGGCACTATGTGATAAGTTAATGGAGATTCTCTCTCCCGTATCCTGGCCAACAATCTCCCAAATAAAATCAGTGACTCATTCCATGGCTGTTTGTGGGACATTGCTGTGTGCAACTGACTGCCGTGTTTTGTCCACAAAATACAATCAATCCACTTTACAGTATATCCTGTGAAGCGCTTTGACACGTCTCAATAATGTGATAAGGCACTATATCAAATGCGGGGATGATTGTCTCCAGCTTCCAAGCATTCTTTCTTCCTGTTCATTATTGTTTACAGTGTAGTTATTGATCACAGCCTAGCATCTGAGTTCCAGTTTGAGGGTACTGCAGTAATTAGTACAGATAATCATATAGACAGGCACTGGCTAGGGGACATTGCTGAGCCTGGCAGTGTAAAGAAGTAAAGACCACTGGTTGAGAGAAGTTACTGAACCCAGTAATTTCAGGAAACCGGAGTCATAGTAGAGCTACAGTCAGTAAAACAGGGTGTAAGCTGGAAAGAGTTGCTGAGATTGAATGTATATTAACCTCTTGGGTTTTGCTGGAATTGTTCTGCATGAACCTGGCCCTCATATCTTGCGTTAGGTCATCTCGCGTCTGGTGTTGTACAGGTTTTGTTCTCTAAGGCTCAGCATTTCTTTGATGGACTGACTGTCTGTGACTGTGCAACGCCTCACCCGTGTCGTGCTGAATTGTTCTCTTGTTTTCAGGTTATCATGGTGGAGTTGCTGGTGGGGAATGGAGCCAGTCTAAATGCCAAGTCCTTCCTCGATGAGACTCCATTAGGTACGATTGGAATCACGCAACGCTTTCTCATTTCAGCTTTCTTGGTCACTCTAACCCCCACACACTCACACTCCTATTTGCTCATTCTGTGAATCTTTCTCACTCTCACATAGGTGTACTGGCAGTGCTGCTCTACACTCAGCCATCAGATCAGCCACAGTATATCTGGGCTATCATTAGAACAGTAGAGTGTGTGTCAGTGCGATGACTACAGCTTGTAAGGAGCATTGAAAGCCAAATGTACTGACTGTTTTGATAGCTCAAAGCGGCAGCCATTGTGTGTGCATCAAGTTCTACAAACAACTGCATAAGTTAGCGACTAGGGGAACTAAAAGAGAATTTAGGAGGAATTACTTGTGGAACACACTGCCCAAAGCTTTGGTTCAATCATTTAGTGTTAATGCATTTGACAGTAGCCTTCACATGAGGGAGAGGGGAATCGAACAGTATGGGAGGTAGTAAGGAATTTGGGAAGCCTAATCATGAATTGATTAGGCCAGAGGCCTGTTTCGGTGCTGTACATTCTTTGCAGGTCAGAGAGGTAGGGAGGTGTGAGCGAGTGAAGGGATTTACATGTGACAGTGAGGACCTCGAAGTTGATGTGTTTGGAAACGGAGCCTGGTGAGGATTAGGCTGATAGGCGTTGTTGGCTTTGGTGCGGATAAGGATACAGGCAGCAGGGTTTTGGATTAGCTGAACCTTGTGGATGGTGAAACTGGTAAGGAATGCATTTGAGAAGTCAAGGCAGGAGATGATAATAGTATAGATGCCCTCAGGAATGTATAGGGTAGCATTTGGTGTGAGATAGAGGCGGAGGCGGGCAGTGTGGTGGAAGTGAAGGAAAGCAGTCTTGGGTCAGGGACTCAATTTGAGGCAAGAAGGACAGCTGAGGATCGAACCGGATGCCAAGTTTGTACACTGACTTGCTTAGTTTGATAGATAGGCTAGGAAGGTCAGGATACTTTAATGGGAGCTGAGGAGGATGGCTTCGATCTTGTCCATATTGAGCTGTAGAAAGTTATAATAATAATAATCCTTGCATTTGATATAGCGCCTTATCACGTCTTTGAGACATCTCAACAACAACAACAACAAGATTCCATTTATAGAGCGCCTTTCACGTCAGGAGGACGTCCCAAGGCGCTGCACAGTAGGTGACCCGAGCAGGGGGGAAATGGTCAGAGAGGGGGGGGGTGGGGGGGGGGGGGGGGGGGGGGGGGGGGGGGGGGGGGGGGGGGGGAGGGGGGGGGGGGAAGAGAGTCGAGAGGAGCTGAAGGCTCGGTCAAAGAGACCGTGTCAAAGCGGAGCTGAAGGCTCGGTCAAAGAGACCGTGTCAAAGCGCTTCAGAGAATATACTGTAAAGTGAATTGAAGTTGGTGCTCATCCAGACCTTGATGTCTGACAGGCAGGTAGATAGATTGTGACTGGAGGAAGGAACGTAGATTTGGGCATCATCAACATAGTGAGTTAACTTTCATTTCTCAGAAGTAGTATTTAGATGAGAAAAAGGAGAAGGTCGAGGATGGAACCCTGGAGTACAGTCCAGACGACTCTAAAGAACAGGAGGAGACAAAGTAGAGGTGGTGGGTCAAGTAAGACGGGAACCTCTGAGGTGGATGAGGGAGGAGAGTTGGTTGAGGAGAATGAAATGGGCCACAGTGTCAAAAGCAGCAGAGACATCGAGGAAGACGAGGAGGCACAGAGAGTGCTGGTCACAGAGAGATAGAGGACATTGTGGTGACTTTGATGAAGATTGTCTCAGTGTTGTGGGCAGGGAAGGACCCGGGAGGAGCAGAGGGAATGTTGGGAAATGTGGGAGTGAAGTTGGGTGGACCATGAATCGACCATTTATGGTGGAAGTGTTTGCCCCCCGAGCTGAGCTGAATAGTTCTTGTATTGCGACTGCCTTTCGGTTACAGATGTGTGCGGGGACGAGGAGGTACGGGCCAAGATGCTGGACCTGAAACACAAACACGATGCTATCGTCAAACTGCACGACAAGCACAAGACAGCTCTGCAGCGGCGCACATCTAGCACAGGGAGCAGAGGGTGAGTGTATCCTCAACCCCCTCCCACTCAGCCTCCCTCCAATTCAGTGTCCCCTCCCATCCCTCTTTCCAATTTGTGAGATGATATCGTGGGATACAGTGTATAGTTTGGGGTGTGATGTGTACATGAGACTGCCAGGATGGTGGAAGGGGAACTGGAGATGATTGTTGTGTCTCACAGCTCCACTGCTTGAATCACAGACACCTCTGGGCAGCCATGCATGCATACAGAGGAAGAGAGACTTGTGGTGCAAAACTCTGCCGCCCGCATTCTCACCCGCACGAAACCCCGCTCCCCGATCACCCCAGTCCTGGCCAGACTGCACTGGCTGCCTATCCCAGAGAGAATCGATTTCAAGATCCTCACTCTTGTATTCAAGTCCCTGCACTGCTCTGCACCCCCCGACCTGTCTGAACTCCGCTCTCCTCAAAACAGTACCCGTTGCCTTCGTTCCACTGGGTCTGGCCTCCTCGTCCCCTGAGTCCTCCGTTCCACCCTCGGCGGCTGTGCCTTCAGCCACTATGCCCCGAGGCTCTGGAACTGCAATCCTCACTCCCTTCGTCACGCTCCCTCTCTTCCCATTTTCAGGTCTCTGCTGAAGACCTTTCTTTTCGGTCATCTCCCCCCCCCCCCCCCGGCTCAGTCCCGGGATCCATTACTGTAAAGTGCTCTGAATCGCCGTCTGGGCATGGAGGGCGCTATATAAATCCAAGTTGTTGTTGTTGCACCCATGCTCTGGGATGCTACCATGTATGAGGGGCACGAGATAAATAATAATAATAATAATAATAATAATAATCCTTGCATTTGACATAGCGCTCTTCACGTCGGGAGGATGTCCCAAAGCGCTTCACAGAACACACTGTAAAGTGAATTGACTGTATATTTGTAGGCGAACGCTGCAGCCAATTGCGCACAGCAATGTCCCACAAACAGTCGTAGATTGAAAATGACCAATTCATTATTGTTTTTGGTTTTGGAGGGATTATTATTAGGCTCTGTGTGGAGTAAGGAAACTTGCCCAAGGTTTCGCCCTCTGCCTGGAATTGAACTCAGGTCTCTCACTTGCAATGCGAGTGCTCTAACCACTGAGCTACAGGATTTCACAAATGCACACTCACACAGGCAAAGAGAAACTGACACAGGCATTCCAGAGAGAGTTGGCTACATACATAAAGTCAAAAGAGAAAGCGCACACATACAGGTTTCATACCTACACTGGGTTTGGTCCCAGTCTGCAAATATCCATCATGCTGCTCTATTTGATGGTTTGATGGAGTCTTGGGCATAAAACAGCTGTTTTTTCGGTCCACAGGAAGGTGGTGCGGAGGGTCAGCGTGAATGAACGGAATAACATGTACCGGAAAGAGCAGGAGAAGGAGGCCATTGTATGGCAGCAGGCCGGCAACAGGGAGAGCGATCCGGAGCTCCAGGATGAGGAGGACGAGGACAGGCAGACGGACTCTGAGCTTCAACAGTATGGAGTGGTATGTACAGCAAAACGGTTGTTTCCGAGCAGGGAATAATAAGGTCCTGGAGCACTTATAGTGGCGGAGTCTGACCCCGAGGGAGGGGGAAAGGTGACCGTAAGCACAATCAAAGAGGAAGGTCTTTAGGCAGGACTTGAAAGTGGGGAGGGAGGGGGTAACATGAAAGGATTGAGGGAGAGAGTTTTGGGACGTTGTGGCTGAAGGCACGACCACCAATGGTGGAGCGAAGGGGACGAGGGACGAACAGGAGGCTGTTAGATATTTGAAGAAAAGCACACGAGTTTGGGAAAAGAGCAGGGAATGGGATTAGACTAGAGAGCTCCAGTGGGGGAGCGAGCACCAGCACAGACAGAATGGGGGAATGCTATTGTAAATTATTTCTCTTCAGAAAGCATTACCTGAAGCTGGTGAACCACAGGAGCAGAAAGCAGACAGCGCCATGTGTGGTAATGGCTCTGCTCTCCCAGCATCACGACTGGACAGGAGCGCGTCCTACCAAAGGGCCACCAGGGAGGAGCCAGCCTCAGACCTGAACAAGGAGAAGTGCCACCACACACTGGCCGACCTGAAGCGGCAGCGGGCCGCGGCCAAGCTGCACAACAAGCACCCCAGCGGGGAGGAGTATCCGGTCAGCTCCAGCCAGGAGTACCCGGTCAACTCCGACCCGGTCGACGGGCCTTCACAACCAGAGGGTGGCCTGACCGACACGACCGGGGACACCCCTGAGCCCAACTCGGTGTACTTCACTAGTGCCAGTGGAGACCCTCCACTCATCAAATTCAAGGCCCCTGTGGAGGAGGCCCCGAGTGAGAAGTCTCGGCGCTGCTGCAGACTGATGTGAGTCAGGAGCAGACACTGTGCCCCTCAGCACGGGACACTGTCTGTCCTCGGCTCGTGATTTTATTTTCTGCTTCGTACTTGGGAGCAAGGAACATTCCAGTCTTAGGCAGGAAACGGTGCCTTGTTTGAACTCTGTCGAAGATGAGCTCCCTCCCCACCACCCACCTCCCAAACACTAACTGCCTGGAAGCAAGGTGTGGGCGCTTGAAACGTTACACTCCGATGGATTGCTAGACCAATCAGTCACTGCACAGATCAAACCGTCACTCTGAACAGACGCACAGCACTCCATTTTAAGTTGCAGACCTCAGGGAGCCACCACAAGGGGCACTGTTCACTCACGATTTATTCTACCTAGTTGCCCATGTCACCCTCAGGCACACAGACAGTGCTGACAGCTTGAAGATGGCTTAGTAAAAGTGCACAGCCACGTCTTGTCATCCAGTCTGTTGGTCATTCCTTTCTTGGAACGAAAGGTTTCCAAACAGGACGTGTTTCTCCTGCATGGGGATGGAATAGGGCCGAGCAGTCAAGTTACTGAGAAACCTGTGCTGTGTCTGTCCTGGGAATGCTGGACAGACAGTGTGGAGGGAGCTTTCCTCTGTCTCAGCTGTGTGGGACATGACAGAGAGTGATGACCTTGGTCACTGGATATGAGCTTGGTTCCTGCCTACACCAGCTTGGGGAGAGCAACCTTTTCTCTCCTCCCCCCCCCCCCCCCCCCCCTCTCTCTTTCAATCTCTATCTCTGCAAGTTATGGACTCCCTGAGTAAGATGAGCTCCCAGTGCGAAACAGTCTGTCAGGGACATGTTTGCATTTTGTAAAATGTCACTGTACAAATGTTGATCCAAGTTTGGAATTAGGTGCATTATTGAGGCAATGTGACGGCTCTGTCTTGCCCCAGGCTACAACTGACCTGGAAGTGCTGGACAGACAGTGTAGAGGGAGCTTTACTCTCTCTAACCTGTGCTCTGGCTGTCCTGGGAGTGCTGGACTGACAGGAAGCTTTCCTCTTGTCTCAGCTGTGTGGGACCTGACTGGGAGAAGTGATGACATTCACTGTAAATGAATGGAAAGGTATCCATTACCTACAATAGACGTCCTTTACTTTGATGAGCACAATGTTTTTTGTCTAAATATTTTCTAAAATAGAAAAATAAATATAATATATGCTGATACAGAATGCAAGATGTGAAAATGTTTGACGTGTACATGTTGAATTGGTCCCTTGTCAGTCAGTGCTGTTTAGGTAAGGAAACATCCTAGAGGTTGGAAAGGCAGGAATGCATTTCCTAGACCTGCCAATATCCTAAATCCTCCCATTCCAACCTCCTCTGTTCTTAAACAAGTCTGTGTCCTGGTCTCTACTTTCTGTTCTGGTAACCCGTTGCAGCTGTTGATTCCCCTCTTTGTCACCGAGTACTTCCTGTTGGCTGCCTTGACTTGCCCTTCCCACCAACACCTGCGTCTGTGAGAAACAGAAACAGGAATAGGCCATTCAGCCCCTCGAGCCTGTTCCACCGTTCTATAAGACCGTGGCTAATCTGTACCTCAAATCCAATTACTCGCCCTTGCCCCGTATCCCTTAATACCCTGACCTAACAAATAGAGTTCTATTATTGCCTTTGGGATTTCCATGTCAGCAAATGAAGCATTTGCAAGTGGACTTCAAGATGCTCAGGTGAATATGGAAAACTTAGCTTTAGTTGGGGAGTCGGTGGTAAGGGGCACAGTCGTAAGATTATTAGCAGATTCGCAAAGCTCTCCTTTGGGAGGGGGGGAGAGAGGAAGGAAGCTGAACTGGCTCCAGATGACATGCTTGGCAACAGAATGTCGTAATTAGGGTAATTCCTTTGTGGCAGTTTTGGTAGTCTGGTTCCTGAGCCGGGCAGGTCTGCAATGGTATTGACAGATGGGTTGGCCTGGCTCATTGGCAGGACCTGTAGGGGCAGACCTGGTCACTGGAGGCAGGGATTCTTCCCATTCAGCCCCTGCAAGCTAAAGTAGAGTGGTCCCAGCTAGACAGACAGTGGGAAAACTATATGGTTTCAGCAGTTACCCCAATGCACACTAAATTCCCCAAGCTTTAGCAACAATCTCTGCCTAGTACTCTCCGTAAGTAAGCAGGATGTGTTCCTCCAAGGAGAGAGTGTGCATTCTCTCCCAGCGCCTTGGCACGTCCTCCAACGTGAAAGGCGCTATACAAATGTAATTTTGTTGTTGTTGGTTGTATTTCATTCCAGATACAGGGAAATGTCTCTGTGTAGGTGGCATACATATGTAGAACTCTGGTTTGTTAAGCATGATGATGGGTTTCCACATGTATCAGCCAAGCAGCTTACCAAAAAAATAGGGCAAAGATGTCAGAAATTTATTCTCTTGAGCGGTTGTTGGGGTACGATCAACAAAATTGTTCGAACGAGAAGCAGGTTCTCTCCAGGTTCTTCAGTGACTCAGTACCGATCGAAGACTTTGCTGCTGTGTAGTTCAGCTTCCAACAGATAAACTTACTTTGGAAAATAAGACTTTTAGACAAGTAAGATGAATGCAATTTAATTTAGGAATTTACAGGACAGGAAAAGATTGTGCAGGCCATCCAGACGGTCCCATTAATCAAGCACAAATTGTGGAGTTCGTATCCTGATGTAAAAACAAGATTGACCACTGGATTGCAGTGAGCAGGAATCTTGAGGAGAAAGCTACTAATAATCAGAGTGTGAAGCAATAAGCACAAGCCGGAGATTTCTAAACCACACTCCATTTTCAATTTGTCTCCGGTCCAAAAATCTGAGAACCAAACAGAGTAAAGGAATCGGTTAGCCAGCCTCTAAAGTAACTGCAGATTTGGAAATATTCGCAGCCCATTGGGTCAACTAATCACTGTCCTGCATCTTTCACTGACTGGCTATGTTTTAGTGAACGAGGAGGACTACACAGCTTCTCCCTGTGACTAGATTGGGGCCTGAGCTTGTACAGCTCCCACCTGGAGCACTGGACACCTCTGGCTGCTTAGAGAGAGGAAATCTGGGTGGTGGAAGAGAAATGGGAGTGATACAATAAACCTCACATAAGTCATATCAGTTGGTACCATATATTTAACATGACTTATGCAAAGTATGAGTTATGTGAAACTTGCATAAGTTAAAGGAAACTTAGCGGGACTTTGACAGATGAACACTTAGACCATTATATGATCTATACAGAGCAGACTTGTGCGAGTTTTACTGTAGCTGAATCAGGCACCTGAGTTACGTGGAAGGTCTGGCAGCTGAGAATGTTCACACTGGAGAAGACTCGGCAGATTGTACTGAAATACCCCAGATCCTAGAGAGCAGAGATAGAGTGACCCTAATCATAGAATGATACAGCACCGAACCAGGCCATTCATCCAACTAGTCTGTGCCTGATCTGTTTAACACAGACACAAACTACAACCAAGGAGTAAACTGGAGCTTGGGAGAGGGTCCAGCTCAAATAAAAAACGCACTTTATAGAGTGTCTGAGAGTGGGGGCAATTCCCAATGATAATAATAATCCTTGCATTTGAAATAGTGAGATATGACCCTATTGCCATATACCTCTGTTTATCTAGCAGTAGTAGGAACCAATTAGTTGATTGGCATATCACTTTCGAAGGGATAATAGTTGCTTAAAAAAATTATAATAATTTGGTCACTCAATCCATGACTCTTTGTGGGACACTGCTGTGCGAAATTGGCTGCCGCGTTTCGCCCACAAAATATACAGTCAATTCACTTTACAGCATATCCTGTAAAGAACTTTGAGACGTCTCGTAGATGTGATAAGGTGCTATATCAAATGCAAGGATTATTATTTATGTCGTTGAGCTGTCTCAAAGTGCTCCACAGAATATACTGCTGCAAAGTGAATTTACTATTTTGTGGGCGAAACGTGGCAGTCAATTGCACACACACAGTTGTCGACTGATATTAATTATGAACAACCCAAGGAGAAGTGGATTGTGTCAGCGCATTCAAGAGGAATTAGGTGTTTGATAAAGTGATGGATTGAGGGGTGGGAGAGAGCAGCATGGGATTTATTAATGTTACTTTGAGAGTAGCTGAACGGACTGTGATGGTCTCTCCTTGTCCCGCACATCAGAATAATATTCCAACTCACACAAGTGGCGGAGGGTGGGTAGGGCAGGGACCAGGATCACACTTGGACACCATGCACCTCGACCTCGCAGAGACTGAGCTGTCCCCTGTATCCAGGGATAACTATGTTGATGTATCGACCTTGAGTTCCTCTCCCACAATGGTAGATAGTGGAATTTCCTCCTGGAATGAATGAGACTGTTGCACATCTGGAACAAAGAAACCTTGTATTATTACAGTGTCTTTATCATGGCAGGCATCTCACAGGCGCAGTAAAACATTGTTTAACTGCATTCCCACAACCAGTATGCCGCTAATCTACATCGGGGCTAAATGTGAGAGTACTAAGTCGGGCTGGAATGCAGTGTCATTGTCAACATTTTCAGTTGCCTGTAGATGCACGAGGTCACCAGTTATGTGTACACCTGTTTGAATTAAGGAGCGTCAGGTGGAGAGATGCAATTCAGGTAAAATCACCCCGACAGATAGAGACAGTATACAGAGCTGCATACGATTAGAGATGCACAACTATAACATACAGAGAGGGAGATGCCCATGTCCATACACATAGATGCAGAAAGAGAATGATATATATACAAATAGATAACAGAGAACTTACACAGTCCTACAGAGAATATACAGAGACACACACAGAACATGAGACGCACAGACAAATAAAAATCCTTGCACACATACACAGACAACATGTACACACAAGAAAATGTACACTGACAGATAGACAATATACAGAGCTGCATACAGAGTACAGACACAATATACACACACGAACAACCCATACAGATCGACGCTTAGACAACACGTGGATACAACCACACACATAACAACAAATTGCCTTTGGATAACACGTTTCGTGTCAGGAGGATGTCCCAAGGTACTGGACAGTTTCCAAGTGAAGTAGGAGTTGGATTTGGGCAGGTTGGGGGCCCTGGGGAGGAATAAAGATGATCGACAAAGAGGAAGGTCTTGAGACAGGCCTTGAAGAAGGTGAGTTGAAGGGACTCAGAGATGGAGGTCCAGAGGGTGGATACAGATAGGCTGAAAGCAGGGCAAGGCGGGAGATGTGAAGCGGGCCAGTGCATGCTAAGTGGAAGCAGCGGGTAGGTTGGTAGAGTGGGGCAAGACTATGGAGAGCTTTAAAAGCAAGGACGAGGATCTTGAACTCAATCCCTGGGGGTTGGGGAGCTAGTGGAGCCGATTAAGGATGGGGATGATAGGCTCATCATGTGGGAATACATAGAGAATATACACACAGAGACACTGATAGTTTCAAAAACACAGGTGGCGACACACAAATACATTGAGACATAAAACACAATACTGGTGTGCGGTTTTCACATCCACGATTGGTTCAGTCTTGATTAATGCTGACCAAACAGGTTCTACTGTCATTTCTGTCAAACGTATGACTTTTTTTGTAGATAATGTGAATAAACAATTAATCTGGCGGATTATTGGCCAAGACACTGGGAGAAACTCCCTTTTTTCTAATAGATGATGCACGATTAATGTCTTAACCGATTAAGTTTAATGTTTCAAACCCACAACCTCATGACCTGGAGGTGAGAGTGCGACTGACTGACTGACTGACTGACGGCTAAATTCAGATAATTGAAAGTATTTGAAAAGATTAGTCCTCTTAGATTGAGCCTGAATGGATCTACAAAGCTCACTTACAGTAATAGTGCTCATTAATAATAATAAAATTATAGGAGTCCTCTAGCACAGTGGTTTGCCTCGCAAGCGAGAGACCTGGGTTTATTTCCCAGCAGGGCAAAACCTTGGGCAAGTTTCCTTACTCCACACGCCTGATAATAATCCCTCAAGAAAAAAAGCAATAATAAAGTTGGTCACTTCAATCCACGACTGTGGGACATTGCTGTGCGCAATTGGCTGCTGTTTTTGTTGAACCAGCATTATTTGTATGGTTTTGGGATATGTGGACAACAGAATTTTAGACTGGCTGGGTCGGATCAGGGGGGGGGGAGGGGCAGGGATGAAGGTTGGGGGGTCTAGATGGGTCTTGAAGGGGGGGGGGTGAGGAGAGGACTGAGGATGAGTTTCAAAGGTGGGGCAGATGTCAGAAGCCGCAACAGTTGCCAGCGGAATGAAGCTGAGTATAGACCGACGGATGTAGTTAGGGTCGCAGAGGTTGTGGGGAAGACTATGGAGGCTGAAGGTGAGGACCAGGATTGTGTATCTCTGTGTGATGGAGCAGTGAGTAGGTGAGATGATAGGGCCGGCGGTGGGGAGGACCGGCTGCAGAGTTTGGGATGATCTACGGTAGGAGGAGGAGTGAGGAGCGACAAACAAGAGTTTGCATAGTAAAGTGACGAAAACTGAAAAACCATATAAATGCAAAATATAAATTATAATTATACAACAGCTTTTACTTAAAATAACCATTTTGACTTCCTATAAAATTAATCAGAAATGAATGTGAATATAAAAACAGCGATATGGAGAAATGTTCATAGAAATGAGCCAATTCATTTGAATTTGGGGGTAAATTTGGGTGACTAAATAATAATAATCCTTGCATTTGATAAACTGCCTTATCACGTCTACGAGACGACTCAAAGCCCTTCACGGAATATATTGGAAAGTGGATTGACGGATAGTTTGTGGGCAAAACATGGCAGCCAATTGTGCACAGCAGTGTCCCACAAACAGTCAGGGATGAATGACTTTTTGTGGGGAGATATTATTACCACTGGAAAGCAATCCACAATCTGGGTTCGTACTTGCTGTTAGATAAACAGAGGCATGTAAATAATAATAAATCTTGCATTTGATATCACGCCTTATCACGTCTACGAGACGTCTCAAGGTGCTTCACAGGATGCACTGTAAAGTGAATTGACTATATTTTGTGGCTGAAACGTGGCAGTCCAATTGAGCACAGGAGCGTCCCACAAACAGTCATGGACTGAGTGACCAAATGAATAGTGTGGGAGAGGACTCTGGTTGAAGGTGGTTAATTTACAGCAGGTAAAACCCTCTGAACACACAGAACAGAAAAAATGCACACAAATGCAGAAGTATCCGCTATGTCTATATGTATATATATATATTATGTATGTGTATATAGGCAAATGCAGCAGCTGTTATGTGCCAGTAACTTTTCATAATAATAATCCTTGCATTTGATATAGTGCCTTATCAAGTCTTTGAGACGTCTCAAAGCCCTTCACAGAATAGACTGTAAAGTGAATTGACCGTTTACTTTGTGGGTGAAATTTCGTGCTATAGAAGATGAGCACCCAATTAATTTGAACTTGGAAATCAATTTGGGTGACTGTAAATCAGATAATCAAGAGAAAGACTGTGTTTGAAATAGTAGTAGATGGGGTGGGGGGGGGGTGGGGGTTAGTCCCTCACATCCACCTGAATCACAAGGCAGAATACACCTGCAGGAAAGATGACTTTACATTGTGTTACTGTTCCCGTTGTTCTCCAGGGAGTTTCCCACATGGATTTCAGCGCCGTTCAAGCGCTCTGGATAGGTGATTTTGTTGGTGATGGTGACGTGAAAGACCCAGTGCTTTTCATGCAGGTCCACCCTCCACCACGGGGTCAGATCCTTGTTGGTTTTGCTGCAGGAGCCGTGATAGTAGTCGCTGTCTCGATTTCCGTCAATCGCGTTCCCTGCGTCTCCGAGGAAATCCCGGATACTGGATTGGGTGGCGGTGCCCTTCAGAGCTATGTTTTCTGGAACTAAAGGCAGAATTAAAAAAAAAATGGTAACGACTTGCATTCAGAAACAGGGTGAAACAGCTGGGAACACTCAGCAGGACAGGCAGCATCTATGGAGAGAGGAAAATGAATTAACGTTTCTGGATAATGACCTTTCGTCAGACGACCTTTGTTCTGACTTTTGTTCAGGTCATCGACCTGAAACTTGAAACTATTTCACATTTCAGCTATTATTTTAGCTACTTCAGATTTCTGAAATATTGTGCCTTTTTGCATTCATATAACGCCTTTTATATAGTGATTATCTGGGAGTGCTTTACAAGGGCGGGTTTGGACACCGAGCAGGGGAAAGGGGATGTACCCATAGGGGCGTTCAAAGAGGTAGGTTTTGAGGCAGGATTTAAGGACAAAGAGGCCCTACAAACTGAGGCCCCAGGTCACATAAATATCAAAGATCCCGTGAGCTTATTGGTAGAGTGAAGGGAGTTTCTCCCAGTGTCCTGGCTAACAATCCATCCAAACAAATAAAAATCCTTGCTTTTTTTTAAGATGGTCAAGTTCAAATAAATTTGGTCATTCATCTCCGGGCTGACACCCCTTGCCATGTGCAAAATTGTGCGATCTGAGGATGTGGGAGGAAGAGGCAAGGCGGAGGGATAGAGGAAGAGTGTTCCAGAGTTTCGGGGTGTAGTGGCTGAAAGCGCAGCTACCAATGGTGGAAAGAAGGGCACAAGGAACGTGCAGAAGGCCGGAGCCAGTCGTCCTGACTTTTAAAGCCGTGGGCTTGGAGCAGTGAATCCCTGACCTAGCTCTGAGACTAACAGAGGGGTTCAGACCTGATCTGACAAGAGTTTGCTGCCCAAGGTGTTGGACAGTTAAGGGTTTGCATTTGATCTGGTGGTTGGAAGCAAGAGGGGTGGAGGGTAAGGGAATGCACAGGTGGCCGTGGAATGTCTTGCGACGGGTCTTGAGGGAAGCAAGGGAGAGAGATTCCGGGATTAAGTTCCAAGGGTGAGGGCAGAAAAGCTGAAGGTCCAATAGTGGAGCGGGCAGGGCAGGGGACGTGAAGCAAGCCAGTGCCCGCCGAGCTGTGGGAACGGGCAGGTTGGGATGGTGTTGATAGGTCATGGAGGTAAGGAGGAGCAAGGTTGCGGATGGCTTTAAAAGTGAGGACGAGGATTTTAAACTCTATCCTCTGGAGGATGGCGAGCCAGTGGAGGGTGGGGGTAATGGATTCACAGAGCCTGGTGCGGGAGAGGACACGAGCTGCAGAGTTCTGAATAATCTGCAGTTTGTGAAAGGAAGATTCGGGAAGTCTGGCGAGCCAGGAGTTAGCGTAGTTCAGCCATTCAGTCTTGGATGGATTAGAGGCGAGTTCTGCTGTTCCACCTAGTACCCTCTCCCCCACCACTTGCCCCAGCATCGTGCCTCCAGTGGATTGTGTTTGCAGGTAGGAACAGTTTGTATGTTCATTCCACTGCCGTTCACTGTCCTCTGACCCTGTGCTGGCCATTTCCCATCTCCACAGAGCATCTGTTCTCTCCAGTGACACCTGCTCCCCCCACTATTTACCTTCTACAACACACAAACACAACGTACCCTTCCCACCTCAAACACACACACCACACATACTCAAGGAATAAATCTTCACAAAACCCCTAACCATTTTGATTAGGCACATCCCATGTTTTACGAATCAAATCATTGGCACATTTCTCAGTAAATAATCTAAGAAATATTGTGCACTGTGGAGTTTTGCCTCGGCCTTTAAAGGGTGCAATGCAGAACTATGCTTTGGATGCAGTTACCTCAATGCCTGGCTTACCTTCTGTGAATATCATTAAACTCTGGATCCCGGACAGGCAGACCAGGCCCAACAGCACGAAAAAGCCCATCCTAGAGAGTAAACCATTTTACTATGTTAATAAAGAGAAAATAACACTTCAGGATCTTGATAGGAACCAAGGAGACAGGAGGTTACCCTCCATTTTATTACATTGCGGCAAATCTTTTAATCCCATTTTCCGTTCACTTCCCAAGTATCCATCTCCCTATTACATCTCAAATAATCACCAGAAAATACACAGTATATGCTATGAATCACTTTGGGACATCCACAAGACAATGAAAGACATGGTAACAAATGCAAGAATTATTATTATTGTTAATAATAATAAAGAAACCACAAATATGGTTAATAATAATAATTACAATGAATTGTTAATACATATATTGTTAATAATAATCTCTGCGTCCATCTATTCATCCATTTCATTTTTTCTTCCTTCGATTTTCCATTTGGATTTTGGGACATTCTCACAACTCTCCGTTATAGAATGATAAGCAGCACCAGAGCTTTCAGACTCAGCCAAAGGCAGTGAGTTGCTGACTGAGTTCTCCAAACCCTGCCTCCAAGGCTGCCGATCATCCAGAACTCTGCAGCTCGTGTCCTCTCCTGCACTAGCTCCGTGAACCTATCGCCCTCATCCTCGCCCAACTCCACTGGCTTCCCATCACACAGAGGATACAGTTCAAGATCCTGGTTGTCACCTTCAAAGCCCTCCACGGTCTTGCTCTCCCCACCTCTCCGACCTCCTAATCCCCTACCATCCTGTTCGCTCCCTCCGCTCAGCGGGCTCCGGCCTGCTTCACATCCCCCGCCTCGCTCACCCCACTATCGACTGGTGGGCCTTTCGCCACTCTGCCCCCACCCTCTGGAACTCCATTCCGCAGTCTCTCTGTCTCGCCCCCTCCCTCACCACCTTCAAGATCCACCTCAAGACCCTCCTCTCCGTACTTTTGATCTCCCTGCTTCCCCCCTCGGCCCTCCCCCAACCCTAATAATAATAATAATCCTTGAATTTGATATAGCGCTTTTCACGTCAGGAGGACATCCCAAAGCGCTTTACAGAACACATTGTAAAGTGAATTGACTGTATATTTGTGGGCGAACGCGGCAGCCAATTGCGCACAGCAATGTCCCACAAACAGTCGTGGATTGAAAATGACCAATTTATTATTGTTTTTGGTTTTGGAGGGATTATTATTAGGCTCTGTGTGGAGTAAGGAAACTTGCCCAAGGTTTCGCCCTCTGCCTGGAATTGAACTCCGGTCTCTCACTTGCACTGAGCTTGACTCCACAACTCCACCCCTCAACTCGGATCCATAACTCTGTCTGTCCAGCGCCTTGGGACGTCCTCCTGACGTGAAAGGCGCAATACAAATGTAATTTTGTTGTTGTTTTTGTTGTTGTCTGGGACCCACACACCACCTATTAGCACTGAAGACCTGTCAGTTGACGAGTAATTCACACTTTCACAGCATATTCAGCCACTATGCCCCGAAGCTTTGGAACTCTCTCCCTCCTTCCCTCTGCTTTGCCCCCATCTTCTCCTTTTTTAGGTCATGACTGAAGACCTTCCTATTCAACCGTGCTTAACAGCAACACAACGACAATTTGCATTTATATATATTTACGTTAAAATATTTGTATAGCACCCCGAGACATTGCCCCGTGTGAAGGGCTCTATATATAAAAAATGATTCACTTAGAACATTTCAGAGTGCTTCAACAACAACAAAATTACATTTATATAGCGCCTTTTGTTGTTGTTGTTCACATTGGGAGTACATCCCAAGGCGCTGGACAGACAGAGTTACGGACCCGAGCTGAGGGTCGGGGTGGGGGAGGGGGTAGGGCAAGGGGGGAAGCAGGGAGGAATATTGCCTCCGGAAAGTGATTCTCCAATCGACTAACAACCAGGTTCCTATTTACTGCTCGGTAAACAGAGGCGTGTGGACTAAAGGAACTTGCCTAATGTTTCACCCTGCCTGGGAATCGAACCCAGGTCCACTCGCTTGCGAGGCGAGTGCTCTAACCACTGCGCTATAGGACGCCACAATGACATGTTGATGATACTGACCTGCAGCCTGGTCAGCTCTGTGTCTCAGGACTCTCTGAAGAGACTATTAGTTCCAATACCGAGTTCAGGAAAATCCAGTGATGTCCAATCTGTTGTTTTCAGATTCCAGTAACCTGTTTCCAGACTACATCAGAAATAATAATCCTTGCCTTTCATCCGGCATCTATAATGTCAGAACAACAACAGCAACAACAACAACAGATTGCATTTATATAGCTCCCTTCACGTCAGGAGGACGTCCTGTCTCTAAAATGCTTTACAGGGAATTGCTGTCAAGTGTAGTGACTGTATTTGTTGGCAAATCCAGCAGGACTGGTACCTGTCACCCACCTAGTGAGGACTCAAACCTGCCCTGTAGGAGGTAGTACATATGTGGAACCCTGTCTGGTCTGGATACTCTTAAACACCGTGATGCATTTCTTCAATAGTCAGACACAGGCCTGACAAAGAAAAATGCGCAGTAATGTCTAACGAACAGCCCTGAAGCGAATGATCAATTTTTATGTCTGGCAAGCTTTCCTGCTGCTTGTCCAGCTAGGAACACCCTACCAGGTAGGGCTTTGACTTGCAGGGTGAACAGGAGCTGGGAGTGGGAGTTGCCTCAAATGACTGGTCTGCCCTTCCATGTCCTGCCGATGAGCCAGGCTGGGCTGTCCTGCCATCAGCAGTGCCCTGGAATACTGCGAACCCACCTGGCTCAGGAACCAGACTAGAGACCGTCACAGAGGGCTGGTTCGATTCCAACGTTCTCTTGCCAAACATGACATCTTAGAGCTAGTTCACAGTGTTGAACCAATTCTTATCTGGCCAGGACACTGAGAGAAACTTCTCTTCTCCAAAAGCATCGCGGGATCTTTAATATCTACCTGAACAAGCTTCCGTTTAACATCTCATCCGAAAGGTGGCACCTCCAACAATGCAGTGCTCCCCTCAGTAATGTCGTGTACATCAGCCTGGACCGTGAGCTCAAAATCCCTGACGTGGGGCCCAAACCTACATCTAATGCTTGCGACTCTCCCCTGATTCTTCCAATGACAATTTTGAGCCTGGGTTCCGTTATTTCCCAGTCTCTGAGTTTAACGCGTCCTGTCATAATATACGTCTCTTTAAATGACTTATGTGACTCAGTCTCAATAACAACAACAACGAAATTACATTTGTAAAGTGCCTTTCACGTCGGGAGGACGTCCTAAGGCGCTGGACAGACAGAGTTACGGACCCGAACTGGGGGTCGGGGAGGGTGGAGGGCAGGGGCTGGGGGGAAGCAGGGTGATCGAAAGCACGGTCGAAGAGGAGGGTCTTGAGATGGGTCTTGAAGGCGACAAGGTCTCATTAGCTGAGTGCATTATATCCATATTATTAAAAGCCCTTTCTGTAAAATTGCTTTTTATAAACAGACTAAGTGCCAAGCTGAAGTCAGACTTAGACAGGTTTAAGTGCGCGGTACTTGTAAACTAGTTATTAACTATTGAACAGCGTGACAGGAGCACAGCAATAACTGAGGTCACTAACTTGCCGCCAGTGTCTCAGTAATGTTACCTCTCTGAAGCTTTCCTGCGAAGATGAGGTCGAGGCTGGTGCGTGGCTTTTTATACTGTGATAGTTAACGGTGAGCACTTCACCACTTGGACATGCACTTACCGCATCCTGTGCCACAGATAGTAGTGCAGCACCTGGGTGCTTGGCATAGCGTAGAGAGGTGATAACCCCACATCCTACTTGGTGAAACATTGATCCAAGGTTCCTGCTCCCAAAGCTGTGTGGCTGGAACTCTTCATCCTCGTGCTCCCAGCAGGAGAGTCGCCTGCCTCACTTCACCCTGGCAATCCCTTACTGGGGACCAACCCTCACTGAGAATCACGTCCCTCTTTCTCTATCCCTCCAGAGAGATAGACACACCCTGCACACCTCACCCTGGAGAGCACTCACATCTGTTCAAGCTGCCACCTCCATTCAACAACCCACCTCCTGTTAACTAACAACCAACTCCATTCCTGTGGTCCTGTAGCATAGTGGTTAGCTGCTCGCTTCGCAAACGAGAGGTTGGTTCCCAGGCGGAGCAAAACCTTAGGCACGTTTCCTTACTCCACACCACTCTGTTTGCCTTGCAGTAAGTAGGAACCCGGTTATTAGTCAATTGGTTGATCATTTTCCGGGGATTATACTCCCTCCAAAATAATAATTTGGTCACTCAATCCACGACTTTTCGTGGGACACAAGGAGCTGTCAGCAACCCACTGGCTGAGCGTCTGAAAGCTCTGGTGCTGTGTTTCTCTTGATTTTCTGATTTACAGTCACCCAAATTTAAGCCCTAGGTTCAAATTAATTGGTTGCTTAACTTCTACGAAATGTTGCTGCCACAAAACAGCTGCTGTGTTTGCCTGTATATCTTTTATACTGATAAAATGACAATGTTTCTGTCTGTCTGCACTTCAAGAAGGGTCTTAATAACCGATTGGCATAGAGATAAGATTTATACTCATCGGAAAGGACTTGCACCTTAGAGTGACATGGGCATATTTGTTTTTGGGTACCTCCTATTGTTCATGAGTTCGGAGTCCTATAGCTCAGTGGTTGGAGAACTCGCCTCACAAGCGAGAGACCTGGGTTCGATTCCCGGCAGGGCGAAACCTTGGGCAAGTTTCCTTACTCCACACGTCTGATAATAATCCCTCAAGAAAAAAAAACAATAATACATTGGTCACTTCAATCCACGACTGTTTGTGGGACACTGCTGTGCGCAATTGGCTGCAACATTTTCCCCACAAATGTTCAGTCAATTCAATTTGCAGTCTATTCTGTGAAGCGCTTTGAGACGTCTAGAAGACATGAAAAGCGCTATATCAAATGCAACGATTATTATTATTATTACTATTCTGGCCTAAAATGTATTTCAGTTTTGCGTTTTTTGCTGCAGTTACAGCTGGTGGCCAAGCCGGCTGACCGTGGCGCTGTGTCACGGAGCCCGCATGTAGCCAAATGATGGGAACAAAATAAAGAACACAGATGAAGCTAAGCCGCGGCAACAACAACAAAATTACATTTTTAAAGTGCCTTTCACGACAGGAGGACGTCCCAGTGATTATAAATTGTACATTTATATTCATCGTTTTAAAGATGTCCAAGCGCAAATCAAACCATTGAAGGCTAAATAAGTATCTGTCTGTGTGTTAATCTACATTCCATATTG